GATTCTCTCCTCAGCCAGGTGCGGTGGCTCACTTTGGAAGGCCAAGGCAGGCGGATTGCCTGAGGTCAGGAGTTCGAGACTAGCCTGGCCTCAGGTGGGTGGCGAAACCCCATCTCTACTAAAAATACAAAAATTAACCGGGCGGCCAGGCGCAGTGCCTCACGCCTATAATCCCAGCACTTTGGGAGGCCGAGACAGGCGAATCACCTGTGGTCAGGAGTTCAAGACCAGCCTGACGAACATGGAAAAAACACTGTCTCTACTAAAAACACACAAAATTAGCCAGGTGTGGTGGTGCGTGCCTGTAATCCCAGCTACTCAGGAGGCTGAGGCAGGAGAATCACTTGGACTCGGGAGGCGGAGGTTGCAGAGAGCCAAGATTGCACCACTGCACTCCAGCCTGGGGCAACAAGAGTGAAACTCTGTCTCAAGAAAAAAATAATAATAATTAGCTGGGCATGGTGGTGCATGCCTGTAATCCCAGCTACTCAGGAGGCTGGGGCAGGAAAATCACTTGAACCTGGGAGGCAGAGGTTGCAATGAGCTGAGATCGCGCCACTGCACTCCAGCCTGGGCAACAGAGCAAGACTCATCTAAAAAAAAAAAAGAATTCTCTCCTCACAAGCTGCTAGACCAATCACACCACAGCAACTGTCTGATGCAATGACTGTGTGAATCTGCCACTTAACAGGAGTGTGATCCAAGGCATTTAAATTCCTTAACTTTGGCCACACACATGGCTCACGCCTGTAATCCCAACACCTTGGGAGGCCAAGGCGAGCTGATTACTTGAGGCCAGGAGTTTCAGACCAGCCTAGGCAACGTGGCAAAACCTCATCTCTACACAAAATACAAAAATTAGCCAGGCGTAGTGGCACGTGCCTATAGTCTCAGCTACTGTAGGCCCCACCTGAGCCTGGGGAGGTTGAGGCTGTAGTGAACTGTGACTGCACAACTGCACTCCAGCCTGAGCAACAGAGAGAAAACCTGTCTCGAAAAATAAAAAATAAATAAATTCCTTAACTTTTCTGAGATTCAATATCATAACAAAAACAGGTAAAACAAAAAGCATCAAGGAATGGCAAGAATTACATAATTTTTTAAAAATAAAAATAACTGACTGGGCGTGGTGGCTCATGCCTGTAATCCCAGCACTTTGGGAGGCCAAGGTGGACAGATGGTTTCAGGTCAAGAGTTTGAGACCAGCCTAGCCAACATGGTGAAACCCTGTCTCTACCAAATATACAAAAAATTAGTCAGGCATGCTAGTGCATGCCTATAGTCCCAGCTATTCGGGAGGCTGAGGCACGTGAATTGCTTGAACCGAGGCGGTGGAGGATGCAGTGAGCCTAGATCATGCCACTGTACTCTGGTCGGGGCACACTCAAAAAATAATAATTTTTTTTTTTTTCCTGAGACGGAGTCTCGCTCTGTCACTCAGGCTGGAGTTCAGTGGCGTGATCTCAGCTCACTGTAAGCTCCGCCTCCCAGGTTCAAGCAATTCTCCTGCCTTGGCTCCTGAGTAGCTAGGATTACAAGCAAGTGCTACCATGCCTAGCTAATTTTTGTATTTTTAGTATAGACAGGTTTCACCATGTTGGCCAAGCTGGTCTCGAACTCCTGACCTCAGGTGATCCACCCACCTCGACCTCCCAAAGTGCTGGGATTATAGGCACTAGCCACCACACCGGACCAATAATAATTTTTAAAAATTTTTTTTTAAAAAAGTGTTCTTACTGGCAGAAATGAAAGAAAAAATAATTATATAAACTCCCTTCTCCCATTGCCTCCCTTCTTTATAACTTTTTTAATTTTCATTTTTATTTTAATTTCCTCTCAAAGCAATAAAATTATTTTCTAGAGGAAGGCATGTAAACTAAGGTAACAGGAAATAGGGGAAAGAAAAAAGGTGAGGAAAAGGCAATATAAGTAAGAGTAAGCTGATCAAGCGGGGTTACTGCTCTGCCTATGTCCTCTCCTTGTATGTCCAGAATCTGAAGAGGTAAATGTGAAGATACTTATTTTCCCAGGCAGGCAAAATTCTTAAGAGCCGCCACTAACCCACACCCTTGTATCATCCCCTCCCCTTGAGTGTGGGAGAGACCTGTAGATATAACGGGATATCATTACTGTGGTTATGTTATATGACAAAATATATGTTTGCATATGTAATTAAGGCCCTTAATCAGTTAAGTTTACCACAAAGGGCCTGACCTAATCTGGTGAGCTTTTAAAAGAGACCTTAAAGGGGAGTCAGAGGTCAGACACAGAGGAAATAGTGAGGCTGATTCCTGTTAGCCTGGATAAAAGCTAACAGCCATGTTGTGAACTATGGGGCCACAAGGCAAGGAACTGAGAGCAGTCCTTGGCCAACAGCTAACAAGAAGATGGGGACTTCAGTCATACTACCACAAGGAAACTAATTGTGCCAACAAGTAGTGACCTTGAAAGACAACTCTGGCCGGGCACAGTGGCTCACACCTGTAATCCCAGCATTTTGGGAGGCTTAGGTGGGCAGATCACCAGTTGAAGAGATGTAGAACATCCTGGCCAACATGGTGAAACCCCTCTACTAAAAATACAAAAATTAGCTGGGCATGGTGGCACGCACCTATAGTCCCAGCTACTTGGGAGGCTGAGGCAGGAGAATCGCTTGAACCTGGGAGGCGGAGGTTGCAGTGAGCCGAGATTGCGCCACTGCACTCCAGCCTGGGGACACAATGAGACTCCATCTCAAATAGATCCAAAACAAAAACAAAAAAACTAATACACCCCTCCTCAATAAGGATATAAAGATACAGGACAAAACAACAAAAGGGGAAACAAGAATCTATCTTTCCCAGAGTACATTATTTCCTCTCACAGCACTGAGATTATGAACATATATAAAGTCAGAATCAAGGAAAAAAATATTAAAACTGTATAAAATTCTGTAAATTTTAAGTTATAGCAATTAAATGTGTTTTTCACAGACATCTTGTTACACAACCACCATAAGATACTATCCCCATTTTATTTTTTTCTAAAGAGATGGGGTCTTGTATGTTGCCCAGGCAGGCCTCAAACTCCTGGGTTTAAGGGTTCCTCCTGCCTCACTACAGAGTAGCTGGAACTACATACAGGAGTGCACCACCAGGCCCGGCTCCCCATTTTTAGACATAAAGAAAGTTAGGTTCAAAGGGGTAACATCCTTAACATCACAAACCCAGGGGATGTTCAAAGTAACTTCGGTCCAGGACCCACTCCTTCCCTACACCATAGTGCCCTTAAGGCTTTGAAAGAATCAAATCTAGCCATTTTATTAGTCTCTTCAAAGGAGGCAATCCTAATAACACAACAAACTTCCATATTTTGCATCTATTTAAATATTCCTTAACTTTATCAGAACATCGAAACTGAAATGGATACAGAAAAATTTCCACTCAAAAGTAGTTCGTTTGTGAAAATGACCACTGGTAGATCACTTGAATTAATTTAGTTTACTCCAAGTACATTTTAAATATGTAAAGGAAAAAAACGTGGCAAAACACCTGTAGATCTTCTACAACTTTATTTAGGCAACAATTTGTCTTATAAGTATTCTTAATCATCAAAAGCAAGGAAATAACATTTCTGCTTCTTTCCATTCCATATTTCCCTGCTTGGTTAAAATGTTTTAGTCTGAATTCTTCATACATTATGAATATAACAACAAGGTACATTATATCACCCTACAATAAACAAGTTATTTTTATTTTCACTGTTCTGTATATTTCCGTAAATGCTCCACCATCAGAACGTGCAATTTTCTTAAAGCACAAGGAAAACTAAAATGTAGAGTCACATTCAAATTCCACATAAGTTACAAATCACACAACTCTGTGCCAATTCAGATATTTCCCGTGTATTTTTGCAAAGATGCAAAATAGTCTTTCTAGTCAGAACCACGAGAAAAAAACTCTATCCATCTTAACACCAACTTTAACAGCAAATAATTTTTTTTTAATCATAAATTGCATTGCTTTTTGTAAGTGTACGAAACCATCCCATGACTTATACGCCCGGAGCACGATTCCCTGCAATGTGAAGAGAATCGATAACATTTCAAATATGGGTAGATGGGGGTGATGTGACAATCCTAAAACCTGAAAATTTCTTAGTACCCATACCACACAAGAAGCACCCAGTTCGGACCCTGCAAACGAGGCTCAGGTCCAACTCTAAGCACTCTAGTTTCCCACCCCGCCCCCACCTCGAGAAAGGAGGGAAAACAACTTTTATTGGCCTCGTCTCTCAGGGGACTGGCAAACTAGCGGGGTAGTGCTTGGGCCTGGACACGTTTCACAAGGAGGCCCCCGTCGGGGGCTGAGAGGGCAGATAGCTGGAAAGCCCAGCATGGACACCCCATCTCCCCCAGCCAACACCCCCCTGCCCCACCCCGCCAACAAGAAGCCTGGGCCAGCCGACCCGCCGAGCGACCCCCAGGCCCCTCCGCTGAGACGAACTCGTTGTCATGTGACGCCGCCGCCGCTAAAACACCGCAGAAACGCAGGTCGGCGGGCGGCGGAAGGCATTCGCGCCAGCCCGCCTCGGCCCGGCCCCGCTGGGCGCGGGCGAGTCCCGAGAGCCCGGGCGAGGGGGGGGCGGAGGGCGGGCTTGGCGGCGGGCCCAAGCGCGCCACAAAGGCTTCCGCGCCTGTCGCCGTAGTGCCCGGGCGGGCGGGGGCAAAATTTTCGGTGCCCGCGGAAGGGGTAGCAAGCCACGAAGACGCCGGGGTGCCCGCCGCGCCCACAGACGCCTCTCCGGGCACTCGGACGGCCCACGACCGCCGCACCCCGCACAGGCCCGCGCGGCCTCCCTCCCCCGCACGGGGCCCGCGCCCAGCCCGCCCGCTCCCCGCTCGCGCTCTCTCGCTCTCGCCCGGCCTCCATCTTGGATCGGCGCTTCCAGCCCCCGCGCCGCTGCCGCCGCATTCCCCCTCTTTCCCGCCCCCCGCCGCCGTCGCCGCCGCCCGCACTCACCTCAGCTGCCCATCCGGGCGCCGCCGGCCGTCGACCTAGTTTCCCCCCAAAAGTCTCCGGTGTGTTATTCCCGATGTGGGGGGGTTGTTACGGGGTGGTCGCCGGGGGTTCGGGAGCGGGGGCCGCGCCTTCAACGGAGCTGCAATCCTAACCCGCCATCTGGTGGCATTTTCCACACGCCAATGGCGCCGCTGCAGACTTGGGTCCGGACCGCCCTCTGCTGGCCGCAGTGCTCACTGCCTTGCTGACGGGACGGGCCTGCCCGGAAAGGGGAGGGAGCTGAGGCGCGAGCTAGGGGCCGCGGCAGGAGCGCGCGCAAACGCTTTCCTGTGGGGATTGCGCGCACGCGCACCAGCGGGGCGGGAAACGTGGCCGCTGCGTGGCGGCCCCGCCCCCATACGGAGCGGTCGCGCAGTTCAGCCAATCGCGAGCGGCGTAGGCTTCTGGATAAGGGCGCTGTGGACTGTTCTTGGGCCGCCCGAGGCGGGCGGAAGAACGGCCACGGTGGCGCCTGCGCGTCCAGCTCTCCGAGTTGCCGCCCGCCATTTTTGGAGCTTCTTGGAGACCTAGGCAGGAACCCACCCCGGGTTCCTTCACCGAGGCTCCTCCCTAGGTCTCAGGGCCGGCGCTTTCCTCTGTCCCCGCCCGGCTCCTGCTGCCCCCACCCACAGCTCTCGAGACGCCCTGCGGAAACCCGAGGGTGAGGCAGCTCAGATCTCTGCTCCCACTTGGATTTAACAAGGGCCTCAGAGCTTAGCATTATATTTGCGATTTACAGTTGACAAGCGCTTTCACCAGGCGAGGGTGAAAAGGTTTCAAAGGAACTGTTGGGGACTTCCCTCGCCATTAATCTAGACGAAACACTGCCCGCCCCAGGCCGATTGGCGTCATCCTGCCTCTGTAAAGCACATCCTCTCCGTGGTGCTGGCTTTGCATAAGGCGGCAGCATTGGCTAGTTTGTGAGAAGAGAATATAACTAGACTGAGAAAATAGACTCAGCTGTGAAATTGGATTTCTCCTTCCGCAACCTAGGACTACTTTCAGTAGCTCTGAGATAAACATGAGAATCTTAGCCTTCTAGATGCCAAAAGAGAAATAATCACTAAGGTGAAATAATTAACTATTTATGTTGAACGTCACCTCTTCCCTGATCTCCACCTGCCCCTCTATGGTTATGGATCCCTACCTTTCACCTGCTTACAACTTTTTACCACAAAAGTGAATCCTTACTCTACTGGATCATTAGCCCCATATCTGACTAACTGCTCTATCGCTATAGCCAACTCTATCTCAGTATAGAATCACTCAACTACTTTATAGTCTTCAGGGCCTATCTCCAATAGGTTACCCCTATTTGCGGTTTCTCTCTCAAGGGTTTGCAAGATGTGTGGCTTTTCACTGCAGGAAGTCATAACTGTCCAGATTGGATATGAATTCGTGACTGGACTCCTTATAATTTTCTTGGGTTTTTTTCTAATCTCTGGCTGATTTCCTATCCTATTTTCCACAAAGACTGTTTCAAGCTTTCCATGTTATTAAAGATGCCAGTCCCAGCCCATACTAATAGATAAATTCATCTAGTTTCCTGGGCTCAAAGCTATGGGACTCCAATTCCGATTTGACATTCCCTCCATAATAAAATATCTGTGACCACCTCCTGTTCGTGATCTCAAAATGTCTAACCAAATTAACCCAGAACCCTTTTCCTTCTCTCCAAAGCCACCCCCTCTGCCTGAAACTATGCCATCCCTTCCCACCTCCTCCTTCAACCACTACTTTCCTAGCGCCTTATATCGTATCTTCGTATCCACTGTCTTCTTCCTTTCTGTTTCTCAGAAGTTTCTGTTGTCTTGGCAGGGTGCGGTGGCTCACGCCTGTAATCCCAGCACTTTGTGAGGCCGAGGCGGGCAGATAACATGAGGTCAGGAGTTTGAGACCACCCTGGCCAACATGGTGAAACCCTGTCTCTACTAAAAATACAAAAATTAGCCAGGCGTGGTGGTGTGCTCCTGTAATGCCAGCTACTCAGGAGGCTGAGGCAGGAGAATCTCTCGAACCCGGGAGGTGGAGGTTGCAGTGAGCCGAGATCACACCACTGCACTCCAGCCTGGGCGACAAGAGTGAGACTCCGTATCAAAAAAAAAAAAAATTTTTTTTTTTTTTTTAATTCAGTGATGTTACTCCCTTCGGTTGCTATACTATCAGCCTTCCTTTCATTGACACATTTCTCAAAAGAAACAGTTACGGTTTTCACCAATCCCCATCCCCTACTTGAAACGCTTTTTCCCTTTCTTTTAAGACACTTCCCTGGATCTACACCTACCTAGTTTGCTGGTCTTCTGATTTCTTTGCTAGCACCTCCTCTTTCCTCAATCTGTTCTCTACTACATGCCTTCGCTTAGGTCTCCCAAAATTAGTCTGTTCTTGATTTTTCCTAAACTGAGATTCCTCGTGTTCAGCTACTTGCCAGAAAGCTGCAGCTCAAAACACTTAAAATAATTCATCTCTCTTATTTGAATTTCCTAATTTATCCTAACATTGTAATTTCAGCATAGTATAGTGATTAAGAACACGAACTGTGAAACCAGACTGCTCTGGAAAGCTTTGTAACCTTAGGCAAATCTCTTTCTGTCTCAGTTTCCTCAGCTGCAAAATGGAAATAACAACAATACCAATCTCATAGGGTTGTTATGAGTATTAAACTATTTAATATTTATATATTATAGAAATGCCATCAGCATTATTACATTTATTGTTTTTAATCTTACTAAGAACTTTGAGCATTTTTTTTAAGTCCGAGGGCATGGGTAATCAACTTTCTAAGTTTATACAAATCTAAAATTGTATTTTGCCCTCACACTTAATAATTGAGCTGGTGTTTATAAATAATTACATAGCGCCCTAGGCTCTAAATTGTAGGGCCAGATTTGATTCTTTTCTTTCAAAAAAGCCTAAGTCCCATCATACCTCATTCATATGGCTTGCTTTTTCTTCTACTGCTGCCATCCTTATTCAGACCCCTCTCCCCTCCCATTGCCTTACACCAAAACTATTGTAATAGCCTTCTGAACACCTCTCCCTTCATTCACCTCCCTTGTGTTCATTTGTGTTTGTTTGTTTGTTTTTTGTTTGTTTTTGTTTTTGTTTTGAGACGGAGTCTTGCTCTGTCGCCCAGGCTGGAGTGCAGTGGTGCAGTCATAGCTCACTGCAGCCTCTAATTCTTGAACTCAAGTGATTCTCACACCTCAGCCTCTCTAGGTCTAGAGGTAGATGCCATTGACCCACCTTCCCTCTACTGCCCACTCCTGCTTCACTTCCCTTTTAAAAATGCAACATTGTATACCTACACAAAAGCGTTCTGTGATTCCTATGGCTTAAAAGATATCATCTAAAATAGTTAATGACATCCAAGGCATGCCTTGATTTTTTTTTTTTTCTCTATTTCGTTACAAATTATTCGCACTAGTTGACCTGTCTGATTAATCATAAATGTAAGTGAAAGGCAGATTTATTCATCCTTTACCTATCTGGTAAGATAAAGTAATAAAGGTCCCACAACACATTGACTTTGTTACAGAATTACATATAAAAGCAGAGGCTGCTTTTTATGAAATTCTTTTTTTTTTTTTTCCAGACAGAGTTTTGATCTTGTTGCCCAGGCTGGAGTGCAATGGAGCAATCTCGGCTCACCACAGCCTCCGCCTCCCAGGTTCAAGCAATTCTTCTGCCTCAGCCTCCTGAGTAGCTGGGATTACAGGCATACACCACCACACCTGGCTAATTTTGTATTTTTAGTAGAGACGGGGTTTCTCCATGTTGGTCAGGCTGGTTGTGAACTCCCAGTCTCGGGTGATCGGCCCGCCTCAGCTTCCCAAAGTGCTGGGATTACAGGCCTGAGCCACTGCGCCTGGCCAACAGAATTCTTAGGATTCCAATTCTCTTGGCAAGGATTTTCAAACACCGCAACTTTTATTAACAGCTTCAAGTCATACATATGATCAAAATATTATCGAGGCACAGAAAAATGATTCCCCAAAATACAGCACTTCAGCATGCTGAATGCTTTGAAAATTGAAAGCCCTCAGAATCAAGGTCTGTTTCTGACCCTTCCCTGTCTCCCTGATCCTCTTTCCCGAAGCACCAAGGGTACAGTTTCTTTGGAATTTCCTTATCTGACCAAGAAAGCTTTTTTACAAAAGAAATGCAGTGTTGGCAGGGCATGGTGGCTCACACCTATAATCCTAGCATTTGGGGAGGTCAAGGCGGGTGGATCACCTGGGGTCAGGAGTTTGAGACATGCCTGGCCAACATGGTGAAACCCTGTCTTTACTAAAAAAACAAAAATCAGTCAAGCGTGGGCATGGTGTTGCGTGCCTGTAGTCCCAGCTACCGCAGAGGCTGAGGCAAGAGAATCGCTTGAACCTAGGAGGCGGAAGTTGCAGTGAGCCAAAATTGCACCACTGCACTGCAGCCTGGGGGACAGAACAAGACTCTGTCTCAAAAAAATAAATAAATAATAAATAAAAAGAAGAAATGCAATGTTGTAAAACTCCCGCCCTAGTAATCTCATCAAATAACCAGGAAATATCAACCACTAGAGAAGAGATTGAGAGTCACCATGACCAGACAGACTTTTCATCTGTTCTTCTGAGGGCAGCTCCAAGGGATTACCTGGAGGACTTTATCTGTATAAGAAGACAATCTGTTCCTGTGCAGCTCTACACCTCACCTTCCCATTAATGTCTGCCTTCCACCTCCAAGGTCCATTTGTTCTCCCTAATGACTTGCTGTCACTCAAAAGAATTGTCTACATTCTCCATCTCTCCCTTCCCTTATGAAAGAGGGTATATAAGTTTCTTTACCACACTAAATAATGGGTAATCACTCTGGATTATTCACACACACACACACGTTAATTTAAAATTTCTGGTTTTTTTGAAACAGGATCTCACTCTGCCACCCAGACTAGAGTGCAGTGGCACTATCACAGCTCACTGAAGCCTAAAAGTCCTGGGCTCAAGCGATCCGCCTCAGTTTCCCAAGTAGCTGGGACTACAGGCACACACCACCATGCCCACTAATTTAAAAAAAAAAAAAAATCTTTGTAGAGACAAGGTCTCACTATGTTGTCCAGGCTGGTCTCAAACTACTGGACTCAAGCAATTCTCCCTACTTGGCCTCCCAAGATGCTGAGATTACAGGTGTGAGCCACTGCGCCCAGCCTAATGTGACTGTCGTCAGTTGATTTTTCAGCAAACCTTCAGCAGAGGGAAAACTTCCCTTTGTTATTACATATAAAAGTTTTCCCTTCACCCCTCAGTATGAAAAAGAATATACTTCAGACACATGCCCATCAGAACTTTATTTCAACTCAATCTCTTAGCCAACTTGGTCCAAAAGTAGGTATTTAATGTTATAAACAGAAAAAAAAAATGCACTCTATAGCCTATGAAATGGGAAGACATTGCACAGGGGTTGCAATAGTTTATTTTAAAAGATTTTTATATAGTGTTGTTTTACCAGGAACTTTAGATTGCTTTTCTTGTTTTCATTGCAAATA